GGCCATACCTCCTGATAGTGCCACTCCCTGGGCCAAGCATATTCAAACCACCACACAGAGTAATGTTCTGGTGCCCGGGGGGTTGGGGTGTGTCTTTGTTTTAGTCCTGCCACAGACATTATGTATGTCCACAAAGGCCACAGGATGTAATATCAAGGGAGAAGGAAAAGAATGTGAAAATTAACAAATATTTGCTCCTCTTTAGGCCCTACCATCTCTGTTTCTTCAGTAGGTTTTTTAAATTCCTCATGGAGATGAAAATCCCAAAGTTTACCAATAATTACAGAGAAAGCATGATTGTATAGCTCTAATTTCAGAATAAATACTGCCCCCACTTGTTTTTATTCCCACGTCAATTCTATGCAAATTTTATGCCTTTGTTTCTTGAATATTGCATACTTTCAGCTCAGACACTAAGTCGGAGCCTTACAATGGCAGTCTTCTTAAATTAACAACTTTGTTTGAAAAGGGAAGAGGGTAAAGTGTAATGCTTGATGAGAAACATACCTTTGAAAGAAACTGAAAACAATAAACAATAAAACACCCAATGTTATTTTCTCCCGTGGCCTGAGATGGATGTTCATGCAAAGGCGGAGCATAGCTCTTGAGACAGGAAACCATGATCCATTCGAGCTGGGAATGAGGCTGAGCGCCCAGCCAGAGTTTGCAGATTCAATCATCTAGTCATTCGCCAAGTTTTTATCGATTATCTAGCAGGAGCCAGATATGATGTGATGTAGCAAGAACGAAATGATTGAGACCCAGAGGGGGTTAGTGGTTTGTTCAGTCACAGTCAGCTACTAAGAGGAAAGCCAAGACTCCATCCATCTTACCAGGAGTCCCCAGCCACTGTACCTCCCTGGGATCAGCCTCCTTGTTTCTCAAAAACTGCAATGAAGGCAATAGTATACAGAAACAACTGTAATTATTATCTGGGCACTTTTTATGTCCTTGGGTGCATTGCTTAGTTTTTGTGTGTGTATACATGACTCTTCAGAACATCTAGATTTGCACTACCCTTTCCTCGCATTTTACAAATGAAGAAACCAAAACTTAAAGAGGTGAGACAGTTTTTTCTAAGTGAAAAAAATCCCTGCTCACTTGGGAGCAGAGATTTTATCTTAACCCAGTGGCCATGTTTTCACCTTAGTAGGATCGTTGTGGGAAACTTCTTAAATGTATGCTTCCTGAGCCAGCAAGATGGCTCAGCAGATGAAGGCAATTACTACCAAGCCTTTTGGCCTAAACTTGATTCCCAGGACCCACATGGTAAGAAAAGGTAACAGACTCCTACAAGTTGTTCCCATACCTTCACATACACACACACACACACACACACACACACACACACACAACATTGGAATGAACAGATAAATAAATACATGAATGCATATACTTCAATCCAGGCTTAATGGTAAGTTCCTATGACCACCACTACTCAGAAGACCAAAGCAAGACAGTTATAAGTTTGAAAACACCCTGGGCTACATAGCAACACCCCCACCCTCTCCACCCAAAGTATATTCTTCAGGACATTGCACAAAGCAGATGCTCAGTGACTATTAAATTTAGAACAGCAAGGACATGGCCTGTTTGCTCAGCCAGCTATTGTCCAGTGACATTTTTCAAACCAATATCATGCTGCTCTACTAAAAGCGCCTAATGGGAACATTAGCTGTCAATTAGGTACCTAACCATTACATTGGAAACAAAATGGACAGCACATGGACACAATTTGCTCATTTGCTAATTGGTATGAAGCCTATCCTAACAGATGTCAAAATGAGCCACCATTACTGACTATAACCTAATGTGTTAGACCTTGGCTTTTAGGACTATTTTCTCTGTTCCAATGGGACTGGCAACCTAATACCTGTACAGATGCTCCAGGGCAGTGGTATCCAGAATGAAACCATGGAGTCCAAATGAGGAGAATGGTCCAGACCAAAATGAGAGAAGTGATTTCCTGGGTTGTGAGACTGGCCATGGCAAGGCAGTTTGACAGAGAAACAATTAGCCAAACTGCTGGTGCATGAAGGCTTGCAACTTCTGAAGCAAGAACAAAATGGGAGGCTGGGGAGGCAGATGGCCAAACAGCTGGAGCACTGGCCTCTGTTTCCTGGATGTATTTTTAAATTTTCTGACATTGGGGATAGATCCTGGCGTCATAATGATGGCGATGCTTGCACTGCCTGTGGCTGTGTGTATTTTGAGCAGTTTTGGCCCTCTTTTTTTTTTTTTCAGGAAGTGTTAGGCACACATATTATGTAGTCAGCTGACCTGAATTTCATCTCTAGTTGAAGATCTGTATACAAAGTAGGTACCAAATCTTTACCTGCTGCTCCTAAGAATGTTTGTTTTTTGAATAAGCCTCTAATTCAACATTTGGTGCTTTTTGATACCTATTAATTATTCATTTGTATCCTGATTAAGGATCTTAAGTATCAAATATTGAATTGGGCAGGTATTCACTAATGGATTGGCTTCCACTTGGTTCCTTTGCATCCCTAGTCTCACCTCTGGCTTTGTCCATTTGACTCGGAATGTTCTACAGCTCAGTGTTATAAGGGAATCTTAGTATTTTGACTCCAACTGATGATGTCACCCCAATGAACAGACATGCAAAGGGAACATTTTAAAATGTATTAAATGAAAAATAAAGAAAAGTATACATTTAGTAAATACACAAAGCTGGAAATAGAACAGCCTGTGAGGATGCTCCGGGCAAGAGGTATGGATGTCTCAGCATAAAGTAGATAATAGCTCTCTGTGCTTCTCATGACACATGCAGAATCCTGATGTAGTTGCTACTAGAGTCAGGGGTCGCCTTATATGGCAATCATTACCCTCTCTGCCTATGACAGAGCATGACCCTGAGAGACTGAAACCTGCATCCACAAACAGTAACCAGCAATCAGAAGGAAAAGGCTGGGACGTCCAGTTAGCTCAGTGCCCTGCCTGGGCAAGCTTGGTGTCTTGCCTGGTGTGGAAATCTTATCTCAGGGATCCAGTTCCCAGCCTACAAGAAATCTGCTTTGGGAATCGAAGGTGTAAGTTCCACTTCGGACAAGAAAAAAAAAAGAAGAAGAAGTGTTTCCCCATCACCCGCTGAAGGGCTCAGGGCTCTAGGAGACACCAGAGTCTTTATTCAAAATACTTTTCTTCTAAGAAGGAGAAGGAGCATAGGGAGGCATTTAAGAGTGATATTTGGGCTGCTTGATGTAACATGATGCCCTCTCCCAACTGAGCATGCCCATTTGGTCTTACAGTCGCCCCAGAGAACACTCCTCTGCAAAACATCAGCCATTGGAAGAGAGAAAAAGATTCCTGTACAGACTAAGGGCTGTGTGAATGATAATAACAAAGATGATGTACTCAAAGCTTGAAACTAACGAAGAGAATACAAGCTTTGTCCGGAACCATAAGCCTATCACTGTGCTTCAAGCTTAAAAGATTGTCACACACGAGTTTATTTTTTCATTCTGACTTATCTTCAAATTCCACTGCAGAATGGACTCTCTGTGGCTGGCCTGAGCCAGCTCTTTGGACAACTGAGGCTTCCCCTATTTACATGAACTGCAGGGGCCACTGCCCTGAGCTGGATGACAGTATTAAAGCACAATGTGTGTTTTTCTCAGCATAGAAAGCTTTGAAATCAAAAACATTGGTAAGGAGGGGTGGTGGGCTCTCAAACAGCATTCTGTAACTAAGTATGGCCCATGTTTTCCATCAAGGGAATCAGAAACTAGTTCAGCACAAACCACCATTTCCCAGGAATGGGATTAAGTAAGAAATATTGCATTTATTATGTATTTGTTTGTTCATTATTTAGTCCATGTGATCAAAAACAACTGGCAGGAGTTGGTCCTCTCCTTTCACTACATGGATTCTAAGGAGAGAACACAGATTGTCTGTCTTGGCAGCAGGCACCTTTACCCACTAGGCTATCCTGTTGGTCTTGAAAGACTACATTTCTGAGTGCATGACTTTTGTCTGATGTTCTGAGGGAACTCTGGGTCTTCTCACACTGTACAAGCCCAAGATGGCACAAAGTCCAGTGTCACAAGACTGGAACTTGTAATATAGATCAGAGTAGCACACAGGAGAAAACATATTCCCAAGAATGGGTCTGGCCTGCCTCTCCCGCTTGGAGATTGCTCTGATTGGGCAGCTCCACCTCTGTCCACTCCAACTCATGTGTGAGGCTAGTGTCCTAGAGACTAGCCATCACCACCCGTCTGTGGCAGTGGCTTTCCTGATAATTCATAGGACCCTAAGAAGAAATAATTTATTTTCAGCCTTCCTAATCCTTCACATTTTTGTTCCATATAATCAGCCACATAAGGGGTTTGGCATGTAGATCATTGTGACACACAGTTTGACAGCAGCTGATTCTGATAGCCTGATTCTGGAGATCTTGGAAGCAAACTAGAAAAGGGGGAAGATAAAGGGGAGGGGGATGCAAGACGTTTAACTTGAAGAAATGACTGAACCCGGACCTTCTAAGGGGCAGGAGGAGAGTGAGTGTGTTAGGCATCTAGCTACAGGCATGAACTGACATTCTCTCAAGTGACTTCCAGAGCCTACCACAGTGACACATGTCAAAACACTTTAAACGCTGAGGCAGAAAATTAGGATTTGAGGCCAACCTGAGCTAACATAGTGAATTCTGGACTATCTAGGCTATCCTAGGGTATGAAACCTTGTCTCAGACAGAGAAGTGGGAAGAGGTGGAGGAAGAAGGAAGAGAGAAAGAATTCTTTCTGAGTTCTACAACCATTTAGCTTCCACAGATTTTAATTTCCTAGAATGAATTTTTCCTCTCCCAGTTTGATTAGGGGAAAGTAGCATCCTTTGATTGGTAATCCTGCCAAGAGGTAGGAATATGGGAGGAGTCAGGGCAGTAGCAAAGATGGCTTTGGCTTTGGGCTGTGAGTCCACCACAGCTCAAAGCTGCCACAGAGGCAACACTGACGCGCTCCGCTCTGCTTGTCTTGCAGGCTTCCAGGAAGTTCTTCCCTATCACATTCTTCGGCTCTATCACTTGGATCGCAGTTTTCTCGTACCTGATGGTGTGGTGGGCACACCAGGTAGGACTGCACGACACCTGCCTGCCTGGTTTGTCTCTAGTCTTGGTTGTCAAGAGGTTAATCAGTGTGTTTGCCTTTTGAAACAGTTACAATATTGAGTGTAGTACAGACAAGGCATATTTCAGGAAAGGATTTTCTTATTCTTCAGGCTTATCTTTGTGGTCAGAAATCAAATCAGCATTGCTATTGTTAGACAGCTTTATAGAGGAAGGCAAGCCTGGCTGCAGCTTGCTCTCACCTAAGTCCTGGCTGAAGAAAGTCTACCTCAGTGTTTTTATTTTGTCTTGGGCAAGCAACTCAGCATAGCTGTCTCCAGCTTGCGCTCTCTCTCTCTCTCTCTCTCTCTCTCTCTCTCTCTCTCTCTCTCTCTTTCCCTCCCTCCCTCCCTCCCTCTCTTCCTCCTTACTTCCCTCTCTCCCTCTGTCTCTCTCCATATGTGTGTGTGTGTGTGTGTGTGTGTACTATATGCATGTGTATGCACACATGTGCAAGTCCATGTAGTAGTGATAGGAAGTCTTCTGCGTTGTCCTTTATCATTCCCTACCTTATATACCTGGAGACAGTGTCTCTCCACTAAACCTATAACTTGCCATTTTTCAGCTAGCCTGGTAGGTAGCACAAACTTCAGTGTTCTTTCTGTCTCCACCCCAACCCCCATGCTGGGGTTACAGGCCTTTTCACACGGATAACTTGAGTCTGAACCCAGGTGCTCATACTTGTACAGTAATTGTTCTTGCCCACTGAGCTACCTCTTCAACCATTACCAGCCTTTTTCATGAACTTATATATTGATTATTTAAATGTACCTGCCAGAAGAGGACATCAGATCGCTTTACAGATAGTTGTGAGCCACCATGTGGTTTCTGAGAATTGAATTTAGAACCTATAGAAGAACAGCTAGTATTCTTTACCACTGAGCTATCTTGCCAGCTCCCTCACCAGCCTTTTAACAATGGTTAGTTATTAAGAAAGGTCCCAAAGGCAAATGCTCTTCCTTGAGCTTCAGTTGAGAGAGAGAGAGAGAGAGAGAGAGAGAGAGAGAGAGAGAGAGAGAAACATAATGATGTATACCATTCTTGTTATTTTAACTCAGTACCAGTCATAATGCTGATCCCAAAATATCATGGCAGAATTACTTCTTGAAAACATGAATCTCCCATTCTCAAAGATGAGAGTAGGGGCCATTACTTCATGAGAATGTGTTCCATGCTGGGCAGTTCATGTCTCTTTGTCTTTTTACTCTTGTTTTTAATCCTGTACATGGATTCGAGAGGAAACAATCATCATCTGCAATCTGCAGATAAAGGAATTGAGTTTAAATCTAATAAGAAAAATACCCTGGCAGCCAGGCATGGTAGCACATGTTTGGAGTCCTAGCACTTGAAAGATAAAAGCAGGAGAATTGGGAAATTGAGACTAGCCTCATCTGAGACTTGAAAGGTATCCTGGGCTCTAGGAGGCGCACCTGTGTTCTCGATCAGACCACCATGCTTCTCTGCAGTCTAGCATTCAAACTCCAAACAAAAATGGTCACTGCAGAAGCATTCCCTCTAAGAACTTAAATCATTAAGAATGTGTTAAACCAATTACAACTTACTTAGGGTTAATTTAATCATTTAATCAAGGTGAAAGAGACCATTTTGTGCAAACTGGGCACGCCTATTTCCCGGGGAAATCACCAGTGTGAGTGGATCCTTCATGCAGCTATCAGGCCCCTAGAGCCTACAGCAGACAGCTTCTTAACCTGTTTCTTCTTAAAGCTCTTATTCCCCAAGAAATATTTTTACAAAACCCCAGATATATCATCCTATAAAACAAATACACAAGTCAAACATTTGCTGGTGGTAAAATCATAAAGAAATTTATTTTAAAACAGTTCTTTGGTGTGTATATAATTTTATTATTTGTTAAGGATGAAGGCACATTCCCACACTTCTCTGAAGGATGTGCTTGTTTGCTGTTGCGTAAAGAGTGAAATCTTAGAAGAATATTTGATGCTGCAGGAGAGGGCATCTTCAGAGTTTATCATTAATTGCCTGAGAACAGCACATCACACAAATATATAGTACAATGCAGTACAAGTCTGTGTAGGACTACATCAGAAGTGGCTAGAAGTTCTGCCCTGATCCCAAGCTAGGTAGAATTTATTTAACTTTTGTTTTAAGTATTTAGTCAGAGAGGAGCACACACATGCCACAGCACACGTGTGGGTGTCAGGGGACAATGTAGAGAGCCACTTCTCTCCTGCCACCACGTAGGCTCTGGGGATCAGGTATCCTGGCTTAGAAACACACACCTTTGCTCACTGAGCAAATCTCATGAGCCCCTCATTTAACTACTTTCTCAGAAGGTCAAGTCAGCAACTCAAATAGAAATTTGTATAACCTAATATTCTAGCACAGTATTATCCTCAGTAAGGATGTTGCTTGCATGTAGATTACTTCTTTCCTTTTTTTTTAAGTTTTTATTAGCATGTATTAGTGTATATGGGGAAGGACGGGTAGAATTACTGACTTGCTTCTCTTCTTTCACTGTGTGGGTCTTGGACATCTAACTCAGGTTACAGGCTTGGTGACAAGCGTCTTTACCTGCCATGGAACTTACCTTCTAATGGGGGAAGGGCAGTGAATCTGTATGCTTAGGGGCCTAAGTCAGCTCAATGGACTTTCAGCAGATTGTCAAAATAAAAACCTTATGTTACCAGGAACCAAGATATTATGTACTTATAAATCAAAAAAGACTTAGAAATAAGTATTATACTCCCTAAAACCATTTATTCCTATATGTTATTTTTTCCCACTAAATGTTTCAGAAGTGCTGTGGATGTCATAAAGTAGACTATTGGAAAACATGGTCTAAAATTTTTGAGACCAATAATTCATCATCGCCAGAAAATCTACAATGTTTTTTTTAAGTCCCCACAAAACAAGGGGTTCGAGGAAACAAAGCAAATAATGTGTGGTGGCTTACAGTCACTGTCCCACGACTCAGGAGGCAGACAGAAGCAGGAGAATCCTGAGTTCAAAGCTAGCCTAGGCTACATCGTGGGATGCTATCTCAAAGAATCCATGGCTGAGTGTGTGGTTTAATGGTAGACTGCTTCCCTAGCATGCACAGTGCCCTGAGTTTGATCCCCTGGATGGATGGATGGATGGATGGATGGATGGATGGATGGATGGATGGATGGATGGAGCTTCTAGCTGAACACAGCTAGAAGTCTTAAATAAACAATTTAATGAAATAGAATACTGTACCTTCTCATTTTTCAATAATGATCCAGTATTTCCAAACTATCATTTAGGCCATAACCTCCTTGAAAAGTATTATAATCCCCACTTGATGGCTAGTAATGCAAGAATCAATACACTGAACGAGGAATAGTTATCAATTGCCTTAAGACAGTTTTGGGACTGAGGCCCTCTGACTCCTTGATGTCGGTTCATATTTCCAAGCCTGAGTACACCCACTGCCAGATTCCCTGTGAAAACAATACAGGTTATAGGTGTTTAAGAGTGATAGAAATAATGGGAGGTACTAAGAAAAAGTTGAAACACTATCTTAACACTCAATAGGAGATTAAAGGGCCCTAAGACTTGATGCTATTGTTGGGTGCTGACCTTAGGTTCAAAGTCTATTGGCTTCTTTAAATGAATCTTGCAGCTTCCCTTCTTCTGTGAAGACATAGTATGGTGGCTTAACTCAGAGTCTCTATGGCTCTTTATTATTTGAGATAGTCTGTTTCATATGCACATGGCTGACTTCCTGGGAATGGATGTTAAAGCAGTATAAAGTCCTTTATCAGTGATTACAGCTTCTTTATTTTTATTGTGTCAGCACTAATCTCAAAACAGAAGTGGGGCTCATTTAACAGGAGTCACAGAGTGATGCTGGGGTCTGTGACTTCCAACCCTCACCCTTGTCCCTGCTCTCACATTCAGGTTGGAGAGACAATCGGCATTAGTGAAGAGATCATGGGTCTGACCATCTTGGCTGCTGGGACCTCTATCCCTGATCTTATCACCAGTGTCATAGTGGCCCGAAAGGGCCTGGGGGACATGGCTGTGTCCAGCTCTGTTGGAAGCAACATCTTTGACATCACCGTGGGGTGAGTAAAGTGTTCTATAAGCATGTACACCAGTTCCATCTCTGTCTTTGTCTTCCTAGAAACTGTAGAAACATGAGCTGGCTCTCTGACCCAAAACTTCCCAAGTGCCAACTAAACTTAAACCTGGGAGCACCATTCCATTTAGCCAGCTGGCTTTTTATAACCAGCAAAAGCAAATACTTACATATAGAATGATCTAGAAAGTAAGATTTTCACTTAAACAACTGCCTTCAGCACACAGTATGAATATGCACTGTCCAGGTAGGACTGGGGTGCCTCTGGTAGTTTCATGGTAATTTTTCCACCCCCTAATTATTATCCTGACCAGGTAAGACTGGATTCAAGGGCAGCTTGGGACACACCTGGGCCTAGAGTTGACATCCTTTCTCCTTTCCTGGAAACTACTGGCAACCTAGGTTTTGTGAAAGGCAGAAGTTGAGACATTTTCTCTGAGCTGAACAAACTGGAGTTCTCAGTAGGAATAATCTGTAGTGAGTCAGATTGGCAGGGACTGTTATCTCTTCCATTCATATAACTTGTCAAAAGTAGTTGACAAATGACCCTGCATGTCAACTCCTGAGAAGCTAAGTCACAGAGTCTCTATGCTCCCAGGATAATGGGGCTCTTGACCCTGAAGTTCACTAAAATGTGGCCGCTTTCTCATTGAACATCTTGAAGGTTGTTCTTTTTCCTTTCAGTTAAGCCGTTATACATGCATCTGTCACTGTTCATATAGTGCTGACAGCAACTTAAAACACACAAGCATTTGTCACTGTTCATATAATACTGACAGAAACTTAAAACACACAACCATCATCTGGATTACATATGATCAACCCCATTTCTGCATGAAGCTGGAAAGCACAGAGCTAGTGTCGCTGCTAAACGGGGTAGCCAGGATTAAGCTAGGATCTCAGAGGACAAGTACCCTATCTCAGAGTAAAATCCAACTGTGACTTTCCAGTATCTGAATCTTCTGTCAGTGACCAAGGAGCCCTCTCCTGGGGCCTTGTGTCTCTGCTGCCTGCCCACTAAAAAGCCTCATCTGTCTACAGGAAACTGACTTGTCTCCCCAGCGTCTGTCAAAATGCCCAGGGCTCTGCTCTTAGAGATTCTGCATATTCTCTTCTCGCTATGATTATTTCTTCCTGCCAGTCTGTGAGCCTTTCAGGCATCCCCCTAATAAACTCACCAAAGCCTCGTCCATTGTCCAATGCATGGCAACTCACACGTGCTTATCCCATGAACAGATAGATGAGTGTTTTCACAGAAGCTGCTCTGGGATGAACTGTGTTTGTCAGCTCTGCCGCTCACAAATTTTCACTCACCTGAAAGGGTCCAGAGAGGAAGGAGGAGGGAGAATGTTCTATAGAAAGAAAGAAAAAGAGCCTACTAAGAGCTAAGAATTATAAGCATTCAGATGAGCACGCTTGTCACGTTTTCCAAAGGTACATATTGTAACAAATTACAACATGCTCTTTGTTCTTTGTTACCAAACCATATATAAACAATAACAAAGGAAAGTTCCTCAGACTCCCCCCCAGTCCTGCTACCTGAAGATCTCCATTTTTATCTTCTCCTGCAAATACTTAATAATTTTGGGGGAATATCCAGTTTTGTTCTCGTGGGGGGCACTTATCTTTTCCAACTTAAAGCCACACAGGCCTGGCAGACCGCCAGCACCGTGCTGCTCCATGTTTTCATAGCCCTTGGAGCTGACATTCTGACTTCATGTGTGTCTCCTCTTGCGCAGTCTACCCAGTGTCTTAGCAGATCTTCTCTTTCTTTTGCTTTATGCTATTATAAGTGTTATTTCATTACAATAAATCCCTTAAAGCAACTTAGCAGGCAAAAAATATTTTTAATGGGTACTGATATAGTTATATATTTATTTTTTAAAAAATGTGTTCAATTTTATGTTTTTATTAGCATCACACCAATATAATTGTTAACAATATAATGAGTGTAAAGTTTCTCCACAGTTTTGTCTGCATTTCCTTTTGCACACATAAGTAGTAGTAAGGGTTTTCGAAGACACATACAGAAATGAATGGTGACCTGCCACACATGCTTAAAATATGTATATTTCACATGATTGAAATTACCTTGATAGTTTGATGTGTGCCCTTCGTTTTCTTTTTTTGTTTGTTTGTTTGTTTTGTTGTTTTTTTCTCAAATCGTAATTAACTCACAAAGGGGTTATAAACACAAAAAGGCAGGATGTGGGGAAGGGAATGACACTGGAGTGTGGGTGTTCAGGAGGAATACAGATATCTTCAGAACCGGGTATTAGCTGGGTGAAGGTTCAGGGGACAATTCACTATGACTCTGCCTATGACTCGCTTGTCCTTATCTAAGTTGGTATTGTCTGCCAAGGCTACCTATTTACAAGGTCTATGACTACTCAGGCTTGTAAATTTCCACAAAAGCTGCCTTTTGACATTAGCTTATAGCCATCTGTTTCAATGTTTTTCCACTGAGACCCAAGACTTGGTGTTAGTATACATGTATGACAGGCCTATTGCTGATTTTAGGCCTATGGCTGATTTTAGGCCTACAGTATATAAGCAGGGCTGCCCCTGACATCTCCTCCCTTCTCTAAGTATAGAAGGGCTGTGGCAATTCTAAACTTGCGAAGGCGGGGATAGAAGCCTGACTTCCAGTATTTGAAGGGGGCCCTTTGTTTTCTAATTAAAGTTGTATACAAGGCTCTATTTAGAATCCCAGTACTTCAGTAAATCATGTGAAGGGTGGAAGGAGGAGGATCAGGAGTCAGCCTAATAGCACATTCAAAGCCAGCCTGGGCTATAGGAGACTCTGTCTCAAAAATAAAAATAAAAAGGAAAAAGAAGAAAGAAAGAAGAAGGAAAAAAGAAAGACTAAATTAAAATTACACCATGAGTATTTTCCTATTATTACTGTACGACTTGCAGAGTTTGTGGTTTGATTTGATTGGTTTGGTGAGTCATGGTCACAGGCAGCCCAGGCAGCCTATGTCACAGAAAATTACCTTGAACTCCTGGTTCTTCTGGCTTGACATCCCAGGTGTTGGGTTTACAGCACCATGTCTGTCTTAGGCAAAGTGGATAAAGCTAGGGCATCTTGCATGCTAGGCAAACATTCTTCCAGCTGTTCTGTAGCCCGGATCTCTAAGCTTGTGGTTTTAAATAGCCGCATAGCATTACACTGGCTTACTCACGATCTAACTAGCTCTTTACTGCTAGAAATTATAAAAAAAAAAAATCCCCAGCTCTTTACTCAAATAAGGCAGAGATGATCGTTTTTCTGAATCAAGTCACACACACTTGTAGCCCATTCTCTCCTTACATTTCTTCACTGACAACAGAGCTGACAGATCAAGAGGTGTGGGAAGTGTCATTCCCCAAAGAGTTTTACAAGTATCAGAAGTACTACCCGCCTCGACTTTACCAAAATGAGTTGTACATGTGTGTAAGGGTGACTGTGGGCCGTTTGGCTTCGTGACCCATGACAAATAGCTAAGCTCTATCACCTTAAAGCCAGAGATATTTATTTTCATTCATGGCTTCAGAGGTGTCAACCTGTGGTCTCTTGTCCCTATCACATTGGCCTTTGGGTAACCAGTGTGTCACAGTGGGAGCACATGGCAGAGAAGGCCTGTGAGCCTCGTTGTGGGCAGGTAGCAAAGAAAACAACAGAAAGGGGCCAGGGTCCCAAAATCCAATTCAAGATCATGGCCACTAACCTAGCTTCCTTCCACCTTACCTCCCAAAGGTTCCATCACCTCCCAAGAGTCTCATGCTGGAGACCAAACTTTAACAGCTGGCCTTTAGGGCATGTACAAAGTTTAGTGAGAGTCAAGTGTTTTGGTTTCCCCAGCCCAGCATGATACACTGAAGTAAGCATCTCCCACGTAGGCTTTAATGGGCAGAAATCTGTTTTAGCATCACAGGCCACAGTGTCAATCACTGGAGCTTTGCCTAGGTCAGTATAACACCCCTACATGTCTACATATGCTAGGCCTGGGAATTCAAAAATGCATACGTAATGTGGCTTCTCAGAACCTATTAGCTAAAGAAAGAAAGAAAGAAAGAAAGAAAGAAAGAAAGA